TACTCCTTCTCTTCCCCTCCGACTTTGCTCATGTAGGTCAACTGCACACTGGGGTTTGCTCCATGCGTACCACCTCCTGCCTTGCTTCTCTACCTGTAGTCTCTCTCTCTTCCCTCTGTCAGTTCTACCCTCCTGCCAGGTTCATTTCCCCAAAACAGAGCTTCATGATGTCACCTCTGCTCAACAACTTTTGTGTCCCCTCTTTGCTTTTCTGAGAAAGTCAAACTCTTTGTTGAGAAATTCAATGTATTCTACACAGACCAAATGCAATTTACATGTTCAACTTTTGAAATTGTTATTTCCCTATTTCTGACAAATTTCCTTTAGTCACATGGTGCACGCCTGTCCTCTGGCTCTGCTATCTCTCCCTTCATTTCATGCTGCTCTTCTTCCTTCTTCTGTGTTATTCCCAGACTTTCTGGCCCCAAGGGAAACCTCTCCTCTCACATCCTCTTCTCACTAAGACAATGACAGTCCCAAGGAATCATTCCATCTTTGGATTTGTTTAAGCTCAAGAAAAGAATCTTGTGTAGAGAGTGTGCGCTCATTTTAGACAGTCAGGGAAGGTGGTCCTTTAGGCTGAGACCTGAAGGCTAGAAGAAGAATGGATTCCAGGTGGAGGTGACAGCTTGTTCAAGGTCTTCACAGGAAGGTGCTTAGCCAGTGTGGGTACAGCACTGTGAGGAGGGTAGGGTGGTATTAGCTGATATTGGAAAGGAGATGAGGCCAGATCACACAGTTTTTGCAGGCTGCAATAAGGAGTTTGGATTATAATGCCAAGTACTGGGTGTGGGGCTGACAGGTAAAATATAGAACACCTAGTTATATTTGAATTTCAAATAAATAACAACTAACTTTTTAGTTTACATATGTTCCAAATACTGCATGGAACATACACTAAAAATATCTTCATAGTTTATTTGAAAATCAAGTTTAATTTGCTACTCTGTTTTTTCATTGTTTTTGCCAAGTCTGATAACTCTAATCGAGAGGCTGCTGAAAGTTTTTTGGTAGGCAAGTGACATGATCCAATTTGTATTTTAAGAAGATCCTCCTGGCTTTTTTGTGAAAATGCTTTCAAGGGTCACAGAAGTTAAATACAGGCAGTGAAGGACAGAAGGACCACCATTTTATGAGCAACTGTTTTCATGGAGGCATTCATTTGGGATTCTCAGACTTGCTGCTTTGACAGACCCCGTGGTAAAAGCACAAGGTATATTTCTCTTGTATAATAAACCTGTAAGGCAATGTCATACAACAAAGTACTAAAATATCTTAACATGTTAACTAGATGTTAACTAGACTTATTGTGGTGATCATTTTATAACATATACAAATATTGAGTCATTATGTTGTACATCTGAAACTAATATAATGGTATATGTCAATTGTATCTCAATTTTAAAAATATGCATTAACTTAGAATACAGTTGTTATTCATAAGTCTAATAACCTGAGCTTTGACCTCAGATCTTAGGGAAAAAAGAGTACAGTTATAATATTAGCTTGGTATAACACATTATGTTTGCCTCATCTTTTCCTAAATAAAAGTAGTGCTTCTTATTGAACTAACATTTGCATACAAAAGCTGTACAAAACCACTTCTGGCCAAGATGTAGGCATAGGTAGATACACTTTGCCTCCTTGCACAACCAAAAGAAAGACAATAAATTTAAAAACAAAAAACAACCAGACTGCCAGAAAATCAAACTGCATGGAAGTCTGACAGCCAAGGAATTAAAGAAGAAACATTCATTCAGACCGGTAGAAGAGGCAAAAGGACTCACAGCAAGGCTGCGGCTGGAGGACTGGGCGGTTCCATATTTGCATGTGGATAAGCTGGGAGGAACAACTGGGAAGAAGACAGACTGTGCAATCCAGGGCCCCATCATGGGAAAAGAAAGCCTCAAAACCTCTGGCTATAACAACCTGTGGGGGTTACGCTGGTGGGAGAAACTCTCAGCCTCACAGGAGAGTTCGTTGGAGAGACCCACAGGGTCCTAGAATGTATACAAACCCATCCACCTGGGAGTCACCGCCAGAAGGGTCCAATTTGCTTGTGGGTAGCTGGGGAGTGACTGAAAGCTGGCCAAGAGCCAAGCAAGCGGCATTGTTCCATCTCTGACTCCTCCCCCACATATGGCACCACAATGCAGCAACGTGGGTTGCCCTGTCCTGGTGAATAACTAAGGTTCTGCTTCTTACAACATAACAAGAGCCCCAAGACAAAGAAATATGGACCAAATGAAAGAACAGATCAAAACTCCAGAAAAACAACTAAGTGATGAAGAGATAGCCAACTTTCCAGATGCAGAGTTCAAAACACTGGTAATCAGGATACTCACAGAAATGGTTGAGTATGGTCCCAAAATGGAAGAATAAGTGAAGGCTATGCAAAGTGAAATAAAGAAAAACACACAAGGAACCAACAGTGAAGGGAAGGAAACCAGGTCTCAAATCAACAATTTGGAGCAGAAGGAAGAACTAAACATTCAACTGGAACAGAATGAAGAACTAAGAATTCAAAAAAACAAGGAGAGGCTTAGGAACCTCCGGGACAACTTTAAACAGAACAACATCCGAATCACAGCAGTGCCAGAAGGAGAAGAGGAAGAGCAAGAAATCGAAAACTTATTTGAAAAAATAATGAAGGAGAACTTCTCCAATCTGTCAAAGGAAATAGACTTCCAGGAGATCCAGGAAGCTCAGAGTCCCAAAGAAGTTGGGCCCAAGGAAGCACACACCAAGGCACATCATAATTACATTACCTAAGATTACAAATAGGGAGAGAATCTTAAAAACAGCAAGAGAAAAGGTGACAGTTACTTACAAAGGAGTTCCCATAAGACTATCAGCTGATTTCTCAAAAGAAACCTTACAGGCAAGAAGAGGCTGGAAAGAAGTATTCAAAGTCATGAAAAGCAAGGACCTACATCCAAGATTACTCTAACCAGCAAAGCTATTATTTAGAATGGAAGGGCAAATAAAGTGCTTCCCAGATAAGGTCAAGTTAAAGGAGTTTACCATCACCAAGCCTTTATTATATGAAATGGTAAAGGGACTTGATCTAAGAAAAAGAAGAAGATCAAAAACTATGAACAGTAAAATGATAACAAACTCACAACTATCAACAACTGAACCTAAAAAAACCCCCAAAAAACAAAAAACAAACTAAGCAAACAACTACAACAGGAACAGAATCACAGAAATGGAGATCACATGAGGGATTTTCAGCGGGGAGGGGAGAGGAAAGAATGGGGGAAAAGGTACAGGGAATAAGAAGCATAACCGTTAGGTACACTATAGACAGGGGGAGGTGAAGAATAGTATAGGAAATGGAGAAACCAAAGAACTTATATGTATGACCCATGGACATGAACTAAGGGTAGGGAATGCTGGTGGGAAGGGGGAGTGCAGGTCAGAGGGGAATAAAGGAAAGAAAAAAAAAATGGGACAACTGTTATAGCATAATCAATGAAACATACCTTAAAAAATAAGAACAAATATATAAACCTGATGTAGTTTAATATTGATCTGTGTTCAGTATCACTTGCCAGCTTTGGACCTTCAGGAATACTGATGATATATTTCCACAATATTACAGGCTGCAATCTAGTTTTATTTCTGATTTTTACTTCCCCATTTGACAAAAATGTAATGTTTAAGTTGGGTGATCTGATAACACATACATAAGTTAAACATAGTACTATAGACATACACGTACATACATTGATACATTATAGAGATTCTGAACTGTGCAAACTTTAAAATATTGATAAAATGATACTTTTCAAAAAGATAAAATAAAAGTTAAAAGGTAAAAAAATAAAATGACATCATTTAAAGACCACTCCAGGGATGTTAAAAGTTATGACTTTCTGGAAACTGCTTTGAGTATTTTAGCTTTCTAGGATGTTATTTTATGCACTGAAGCAGCAACATCAAATGGTGGCCTAGTGATACATTAACAAGTTAACTTCAATTTCTAGGGAACATAATTTACTACTACATAGTCATTTAACACTTTGATGTCACCACACCGCTTTTGGAGTTCAGGGAAGTAAGCTGTTTTGTAGAATGAGTCCTTGCGGTGGTGGAGTGCGCCCCGTGTTGTTACTCATCTTTTCGTTAAATGTGACTGGTATTCCTTTTCACCATCCAGGCGTTGCATAACAATAACAACCACAAATATGAGAGATTAAGCTTGCCTAACAGACTGAACTGTTTTACTTAGGAAGCTGAAGCTGCTCAGAGATAATGAATACAGGATATGTCAGAAGAGCTGAACAAAAACAAATTTGCATTGCTTTCATTCACAGCAAAACTTAAGTTTCAGGTCACATGGCCACAAAGGGTGTATGCTTTATGAAACAACTCCTCCTTCCAATGTATGCATTTATGTCAGAATACAAACACTTTTTTCACTTGATTACTAAGCATTGGCGAGTTTTGGAATTTAAAATTGAAGGTGTTTCTCCCATAATCTAATGGGTTAAATCTTTTTAATAGGGGGAAAAAGGCAAAGGGCTGAAAAATGTGTTGTCACAAAAGTCTTTTTTATTCTCTGCAGAAATTTTGTACATTTCAACAAACCTGTTTATTAAATGTCTTACTGAAGTGCCTGGGTGCCGAGGCATGGAGGAGAGACATGAAGCAGACAAGTAAAAGAAAAGCTTCCTTCAGGAGGTACCTGAAAGGGTGAGTAGAAAAAAAAAAGAGAACGGAGAGACAAGGGGGTTTATAATACGAGGTTGTCTGAAATAAGATTGGAAGAAAGCTCGCAGATGAAAGACATGGTCTGCATCATGTCCTGGAAGCATTATAAAAGGAGTGTTTTATAAAGCAGAAACCGTTAAAAGAGTTCACACGTCCATTTGCATGAATTACCAAACCCTGGAGAGTGTCTGAATGTATTGCAAGTGCTGACCTGAAATGAAGGTCACTGATCTCCCCACAACATCAGACATCAGTGTGAACTGAGCAGAGTTACATTAACAAACCTTTCCAGCCAGTGTTGAAAGATCATAGCCTCCAATTATCTGCATCTCGCCCATGGACTGGTCATTCTAAAAAAAGAGAAGCCAATATTTTACTGTACGAGAAAATCTGTAGGGCATATTTTCCCGTCTACCCAGCTAGGGGCTAGATTGTGCCTTACAAACAGTGGTATAGCACAAATAGCTAGTGCAGGTTCATGGTTGCCTATGGTTACCAACAGCCACTTGCTGCTCTTGTGCTTGAGAGAAAGCATCCTAATGGCTGGGGGAGAGACTGAGGAGAGAGGGATTAGGAGTGGAGAGAGGACAAGCAAACCTAATTTTGGAACAAAAAACTGGAAGGTGCCACAAACTCTCCTGAGTCAGATGGATTTGGGGAAACCAGTTGTACTCCCAGAGTTCCCTGGGGTGGAGGGGGCCATGGGAGCGTCAGGAGTGGGGCAGGCATTCGCCAACTATGCCAACATGTCATGCTCTTAGCCCTGCACTGGGGCACAGTTATATTATGGTTCCCAAAGAAATTAGAGTCCTTCTCTACTCTCTACCAGTGCAGGTCCTTTTCTCTCAGCTGATGTTGAGGGCATTTCTAACAGGCCACAGATAAAGAACTATCACACTGAGACCTTCAGACATGGATGACAAATCCTCAGGAACTTAACTACAGTCCCAGGAAAATGTGACCAGATCCCTCTGTAGAAGTCTTTTCACTGAAATCCCATAAGAGATTATGAGCATTTGCTTTTATGATGTTTATGTATGGTACATCATTACACCTCAATGCCCTAATTAAACCTCAAACACACATAATAAACAAATATGGATTGTTACTTAGTGAATATCACAATAGAATAACATGGGGGCAAAACAGGAAACGGAGTGCATGCAAGTTGTTTTCTAGCCTTATTATAGAGACACATTCAAGGAACTGAAGCAGATATCCTACAGGCAATCGGCTCTGTGACCAAGCAAGAATGTTGTAATGTTGCAACCCCTTGATGCAAACAATAACCTAAGGGAGCAGATGACAATGTAGGTAGCATGTGTACAATGCGTGGAACGAAGGCCCTTCCCCTTTCTGGGGGAAGTTCATTCCATATGGATCAGGTGGAACGAGGCCTTAACCATGCAAACCAGCTATGCCTGAAGATATATCCAACCCTGAACTTTTCACCTACAGAAGCCAATTTATTTCCTTAGGAATTTTCTTGGGTTGGTTTGAATTGGATTCTGTCACTTGAATATGAGTGTCAATCTAGTCATCTGGGAAGGGAAAAAATAGCCAAGCAACCAATATAACAGTTTTACCAATGAAACAGGTTTTGTCTTTTTACCTTTTTGCTCAAGAGAAAAAAATAAATCACTTTAAAATGTTTTCATTTCTGCTTGGTGAAGCAGTCACTCCTTACTGCAAAGAAGTACAGTACTTGAAAGTGGCTCACCAAATTAGTAAAACCAATAATTTTCTTATTATGAGAACAGGTCTCAAAAGGAGAAAAATAACAAAATACCCAGAATTCCCAGATCTTTTGCTGTTTTTGTGCAGGCATATATAATCATATATCCACAAGCAATCATGTCAATAGGTCAAGAACTTGTCAAAAATGTCAAAGGAGAAAATTTTCTTGTCATTTCTAGAGGTGCTGAGATATAGGAGTTAACATAGGAGAATTTCTGCATATTAGGTTCAAATATGTTCTTAATAGCAGCAGGAAAAATAAAATTTCAGTACCTCCAGAGGACTAAGTTATGCAGAACTGGATACAACTATTAAACCACAGAGTTTAATGTAACAAATGAGATTTATACTTTGCCAGATCAGAGTATGTTTCACAATACTTCTATTATCATCTCCATTCTATTGATTAAAAACAAAAAACGCACAATACATCATAAAGCTAAATAATGTTCTCTAAGTCACATAGTAGTGTGTTGCCAAGCAAGCCCTATTTCATAAGGTTTTACTTAGTCCAAGTTTATAACATGGTTTTAATATTAGATTTGTCCCTAATTCATCTGGAACTTACATCTTCCAAGTATGTACATAGTCAATTGTCCACATAACATTCATTGAATTGTTTACTTTTTCCCTACTGGTTTGTAATGTCATTAGTTTTGATTTGATAATATTTTACTTGGGATTGTGTATCTTATTTTCATAAGATAGGCCTATAGTTTTAAAGCAAAGTGATATTGGCCTCATATAATGAGTTGGGTTGTTCTTTATATATTTTTCTGTTTTTTAAATTTTATTTTTTAAGTATAGTTGACATTTAATATTATTTTGTATTAACTTACAAAGTGGTTCCCCTGATTCAGGTACCCTCCTGGCACCACATACAGTTATTACAATATTATTGACTATATTCCTTGTGTTGAGCTTTACATTCCTATGACTGTTTCATAACTACCAATCTGTACTTCTTCATCCCATTTATTTTTTCACACCATGTACAAAACTTCTTCTACTCTGGTAACTATTAATCTGTCCTCTGACTCTATGTGTGTGTTTCTACTTTGTTTGTTTGTTTGTTTTGTTCTTTAGGTTCCACATATAAGTGAAATCACATGGTATTTGTCTTTCTCTGTCTGACTTATTTCACATAGCATAATACCCTGTAGGTCTATGCATGGTTTCACAAATGGTAAGATTTCAGTGTTTTTATAGCTGAGTAATATTCCATTGCATATACATACAACTACTTTTTTATCCACTTGTCTAATGGGCACTTGCGTTTCTTCCATATTGTGACTATTGTAAATAAGGCTGCAATGAACATAAGGATGCATATTTTCTTTTGAATCAGTGTTTTGGGTTTTTTGGATAAATACCCAGGAGTGGAATTGATGGGTCATAAGGCGGTTCCATTTTTAATTTTTTGAGGACCCTCCATACTGTTTTCCACAGTGGCTGCACCAGTCTGCATTCAGCAGTGCATGAGGGCTCCCCTTTCTCCACATCCTTCACCTTTCTCCATATCCTTGCCAGCATCTGTTGTTTTCTGACAGGTATGAGGTCTCATTGTGGTTTTAATTTGCATTTCTCTGATGATTAGTGCCATTAAGCATCTTTTCATATATCTACTGGTCATCGTTATATCTTCTTTGGAGAGGTGTATATTCAGGTCCTCTGTCTATTTTTAATTGGATTGTTAGGGGGTTTTATTTTGATGTTGAGTTGTGTGAGTCCCTTATAAATTTTGCATATTAACCCCTTATCAGATGTATCATTGGCAAATATTTTCTTCCATTCAGTAGATTGTCTTTTCATTTTGTTGATGGTTTTCTTTGCTATACAAAAACTTTTAGTATATTGTAGTCATATTTGCTTATTTTTTTCTTTTGTTTTCTTTGCCTGAGATACATCAGAAAAAATATTGCTGAGAGAAATGTAAGAGAGTTTACTGCCTAAGTTTTCTTCTAAGACTTTTATGATTTCAAGTCTTATATTTAAGTCTTTAATTCATTTTGTCTTTATTCTTATACATGGTGTAAGAAGGTGGTCTCAATTTTTTTTGCATGTATCTAATTTTGCCAACACCATTTAATGAATAAACTTTCTTTATCACATTGTATGTTCTTGCCTCCTTTGTCATATATTAATTGACCATATAGACATGGGTTTATTTCTGGGCTCTCTATTCTTATTTGAATTGATATCTTCTGAATAGATAAGAATACTGTGACTAGAACTTCCAGCACTATGTTGAATAAGAGTGGTGAAAGTGGGCATCCCTGTCTTGTTTCTGATCTTAAGGAAACCACTTACTTCTTTTCCTTGTTGAGTATGATGTTAGCTGTATGTTTGCTGTATATGGCCATTTATTTTTATCATAAATGGGGGCTGGGTTTTGTCAAATGCTTCTTCTGCATCTATTGAAATGATCATATGATTTTTAACATTCATTTTGTTTATGTGGTATACCACATTAATTGAATGCAGATATTGAATCAAACTTGCATCTCAGGAAAAAAATCCCACTTGATCATGGTGTATGGTTTTTTTTTACGTATTGCTGTATTCAGTTTGCTAATATATTGTTGAGGATTTTTGCATCCATATTCATATGGAATATTGGCCTATAATTTTCTTTTTTTAATAATGTCTTTGTCAGGTTTTGGAATCATGATAATGTTGGCTTTGTAAATGAATTGGGGAGATTTCCTTCCTCTTGAATTTTTTTGGAATAGTTTGAGAATAGCTGTTAATTCTTCTTTGAATGTTTGATAAAATTCACTTGTGAAACCATCCATTCCAGTACTCTTTCTTGGGAGTTTTTTTTTATTACTGAATTGATTTTGTTGGTTGTGATTGGTCTGTTCACATTTTCTCTTTCTTCTTGATTCAGTCTCGGAAGATTGTATGCTTCTAGGAATTTATCTTGTTGGTATATGATTGCTTGTAGTATTTTCTTAAAGTCTTTTGTGGTGTCAGTCATCACTTCTCTTTAATTTCTGATTTTATTTATATGGGTCCTCTCTCTTTTTTTCTAGATGAGTCTGGTTAAAGTTTTGTCAGTCTTGTTTATCTTTTTAAAGTACCAACACATGGTTTCACTGATCTCTTGTACTGTTTTTTTAGACTCTATTCTATTTATTTCTAGTCTGATTATTATTATTTTCTTCCTTCTACTCACTTTGGGCTTTGTTTGCTATTCTTTTTCTAGTTCCTTTATGTGTAAGATAAGATTGTTTATTTGAGATTTCTTCTTCTTGAGACAGGCTTGTATTGCTATAAATTGCCCTCTTAGGACTGCTTTAGTTGTGTCTCATACATTTTGGGTTGTTCTGTTTTCATTTTCACTTGCCTCAAGGTATCTTTTGGTTTCTTCATTGATCTCATTGTTAACCCATTCATTGTTTAGTAAGATGTTATTTAGCTTCCATATGTTTCTGTATTTTCTGTTTTACTTTCTTGTAACTGATTTCTAGTTTCATACCATTGTGGTCAGAGAAGGTGCTTGATATGATTTCAATCTCCTTAAATTTACTGAGACTTGTTTTGTGGCTTACCATGTGACCTAGCATGGAAAATGTTCCATGTGCACTAGGAAAGAATGTATATTCTGCTG